AAAAAATACGAGAATCCCTTTTGTGCGAAAAAAAAAAAAAAAGACTTTATTCCACAATTTGTCTCCTCCGCATCACCCTAGTGCCATTTTGGAGAATATCCGCTGGACGTAAAACAACGTATGCTGTTCTGTGTCAGCTGTGCCACGCGGATACGCTGTTTCCGTTAAGATCAAATCACAACAACGTAGGAAACCGATCTGGTGTGACGCATTTGACACAGAACAGCATACGTTGTTTTACGTCCAGCGTCTATTCAGGGTCAGACAGCTCTCAGATTCCATCAAAAATATCTTAATTTGTGTTCAGAAGATGAACGCAGGTCTTATGTGTTTGAAGCAACATGAGGGTGAGTAATTCATTACATCATTTTTATTTTTGGGTGAACTAACCCTTTAAGTAGTGTGTCACTACATAACAGTAATATGTGGATTCAGCTTTAGAGTCATGTGGAAATATCTGATCATATCCTGGCTGAAGCACTTTTGTTTCAATCTATAAGAATAATTACTATAGTTTAAAGTTAAATATATTAATATTAATAAGGTGAGTCTGAGAGTCTTATGTTTATTTGATGGTGATTTCACATTACTTGTTTGTATGTAGGTTAAAAATAATACTATGCTCATTAAGTGCTAACACGCAAACAGTTGCTGTTTACGGTGTTTATTATAAGTTATTTTTTTCCCGCTGTTTTAACTCTGTTTCTGAAGCACATTTGTTGTGGCAAAGCAAACAAAGCAGGGGAAACTGATTGGGTGATGTTGTCGTATAGTGGCTGATTCAAAGTCTGATCTCTCAGTATTTCGAGTTAGTTATTCATTTTACATGGCAGTGCTGTGATGTTTTGATAGATATTGCTCAATAGCTAATTAAATGGCGAATTCGGCAGGCAAAACACCCATCATCACTAGGAATCGGGAATTTAGAGAAGTGAAAATCGGTTCCCCACTGGTCTCGCCTCCGATTCATTCAAGTTCGTTAACTTGAACACGTGAATTCACCGCATTGATTAGGCCTATAAGCTGCCTGATTCGGAAGTGACTGAGTTAGCATTATTTCAAGCATCGCTACATTATTGTCATGGACTCTACAAGTTATGTGACTGACTCAAGAACAAGTTCAGATGGGAACTTCATCCCCAAGAAGGATATCAAGAGATCAAGCATCCACTTCACAGCTGCTATGTTTCACTCTTTCGAACGTCTTCACAAGCTAGTACACCAAGCTTTGTTAACATAAATGCACAATCCTCCGCCTCTGGTCTTGCCGGAGTCATCTGCCGTCCTATCTGCCCGGAGCGTGTAGCGTCCGGCTAGCTCAATAGCATTATTGGGTACGTCGCTGTGTAGCCATGTTTCTGTGAAAACCATGACGTTGCAATCCAAAAGTCTCTTACTGTGGGTGATGCGAAGTCGTATCTCATCCATTTTGTTCACCAATGACCGCACATTAGCGAGGAAAATGCTGGGTAAAGAGAGCCGGAGCGGTGTTAGCTTTAGCTTAGTTCTTAGCCCACCGCGCTTACCCCGCCTTTGTTTATGATCACGACGCCGCCTGGGAGCACTTCCGCCCAGCCGGGTAGAGTGCGTAGCCTCGGGTGGTCTGGAGATCTCAGGGATGAGTCGAGGATTGGTGATAAAACTGTTGGAAAAGTGCACACCAATATCCAAAAGCTCCTGTCGGGAGTAAGATGTTAAGGCAAAGCTGTTCAGTGCGAACAGGCCCGAGATGAGCAGGAAAAATACTACAAAATTGCAAAAACTGGAGAGACGCTGAGCCTCGCGATGTGTGCGCGCCGCCATCTTGGTCACAAAAAAATAAATAAATAAAAAATAAAAATAAATTATGTAGTTATGTGGGTTTTGGCAACATATTTGATTGGTCATTGGTTAAGGGCAACATGCTTGTTGCTTAAAGCTTTGAGATTTTGCTATCAGTTTGTGTTGGGGGATATCAGCATGTGGTTTTGTTTTGGGGGGTTATCGCTGCTCTCCCTGCTCTTGTCCATGCTAGGCTGCATGGATGTGCAGGGAGTTCTTGCCCAGAACAGAACCATACTGCCAATCCTGACAGAATTTGCAATTATGGAGAAAATATTTTGACAGTGTCATTCAGACACATATAGAATCAAGACACACATCAAGAATCAGCGCATGAATCTCAACAATAGTGACAATCAACAAAAAGCTTTTTTTTGTGAATATAGTAGGTTGTTTTTTGACGTTCAGAGTTGATCTGTTTATTTGAATATTTTGTCACCATTGTTGAGATTCAAACACTGATTCTTGATGTGTGTCTTGATTCTATGTGTGTCTGAATGACCCTATCAAAATATTTTCTGCATAATTGCTAAATCTTTGAAAACATCCCAGCACTGCCATGTAAATTTAATAACTAACTCTTGATGTCTCTGTGGATCTGAAACGCATAGTTCAGTGCATTTTCTTTATATTGACCTAAAAAAAAATCTGAACATTTTATTGGCACAATGCCGATGCCAAAATATCAGAAAGCTGCAGCAAATAATTTTAAAATAGCAGTTAATGAAAGCTAGTCTCTTAATAATTTATTGCTGATGGCCTATGTGCCCTCTAAGCTGCTCGCAGAAGAAATAATATGGCAACACAAAAATGAGTTAGTTATTATATTATATTAAGCCTAATAAATAATTGACCTCAAAAAGGGAATTCATGAGCAGTAACTGCTTCATTTTTTTCATATTAGCTATTGTTAGAGATTGCCGAACAGTCGACCCAATAAATGATCCATACGACTTACAATGAGCTGGGTGATTTTATTTACAAGTGCAGGGGTGAAATCCAAACAGATGTAGAAGCACAACGGAAAGTAAACACTGAAACCGAAACCAGCAAACAAAACTGCACCATATTTTCAACACTACTCACTGCAATTGTGAAAACATTAAAAAAGGGCAGAGCCACAGCTAGCACCCACACACAGCCCCTTCTTTTTTCTATTAAGCTCTGACAGACATTTTATAGTCATGGCTCCTCCCCTTCCTGGATCCTACCAGAGATCGGTAAGTTAAAGCATTTCTATGCTTTTCCAATACACAAATACATAAAACATAATACAATCTACAAAATAAACATAAATATACAGAACACAAAAATAAAAAACACCGTACTGGAACCATAACTGTACATAACACAAACACCTTACACCAGTTCAACTTATGATGTTATCAGTGCCGGCATTTAGACCGTGTAGTGCGATATGTTGTATGTATACGCATGAGGTATGGGTGTACGCATGTGCATAGTCTCATAGTCACAGAGTCTAACACAGCACTGTAAAAAATATTTCTCAGGTAAACTAAAATGTGCATCATTTAGTTACATCAAGGGTCAAATCAAATATAAACAGCACATTAAAGTTAAAAGTTAGACACTTTTTTTTGTGCGCTGTGCAGCTCTGGTTTAAAGAATGTTTTTGCTCAGGTGGCCGAAATGTCTTCCCAATAGAGAAAAGTTTTGCTCGGCAAGAAAAAAAAAAAATAGAATTAAATTAAAATTACTTGACCAGATTTTCTCTCGCATTTGTTGTTTTAACAAATTAGCTTTAGAAACACAAAGTGAAAGCAGCCAGAGAAAAAATAATGCTTAAGAAATTAAGGATTAAGAGCCCAAATGAAGCAAACACTGATCTCTGTCATGGTGACATCAAACTTTACTTTTTTCACTTAAACATCAACATATAAACCTCTGTTAATTCTCAACAAGAACTTTTATATGAAATGAAGTCAAACTGGATAGTAATAAATAAAGATGCTGAGATCTTGAGATCTGTCAGTGTTTAATGTTCTGTTGCTGCAAGTCATTTCACTTTTTATTTAGTTGTTAGTTAGTGAAGGTGTTTGATTGTTATTTAATAGGTATTTTGTGAATTTTACAGTGTTTGTTAAAGTTTGAATAAAGTTTTGCACTTTATTTAAATGAGGGTATTTTACTGAAGTTTTACAGTTTGTTTGGCAGCCGTTACTGCAGTCATTTGACCGTTTTTTAACAGTGTGAGCAATCGTGCCATTTTGCAACTTATATTTAGCATATATTTCAAATATATTTTGGCAACGAAAAATATATATATTTTTTTGCCATATGGGAGAGCTCACGCTGAACAAACTCTGGCATATTGAGCGGATTCTGAATAAACGCCTCTGATTGGCCGTTGTGTTCACGTGCTCCACAAACACGTCTGTGATTGGCTACAGTGATCAGCGCTGCAGAAACACACTGTAAATAGAAAGCGTTGATGCTCTCCACAGACACACAAACACACACAGGATCGTCTGAAAGCAGCGTCTGTCAGAGGGAACCGAACCGAGCCGCTGCTGCAGAAAGACTGCTATCATTACACTTTAAAGGGGTCATATGATGCTGCTAAAAAGAACGTTATTTTGTGTATTTGGTGTAATGAAATGTTTATACGGTTTAAGGTTCAAAAAACACATTATTTTCCACATACTGTACATTATTGTTTCTCCTCTATGCCCCGCCTTTCTGAAACGCATCGGTTTTTACAAAGCTCATCGGTCTGAAAAGCGAGGTGTGCTGTGATTGGCCAGCTACCCAGTGCGTTGTGATTGGCCGAATACCTCAAGCGTGTGACGGAAATGTTACGCTCCTCACCATACTGTGATGCCGTCAGGTCGGAGCGACGAGACAGAAAGGAAAAATTTAAATCGCATCATATGACCCCTTTAACACTGAAAAACAGCTTTCACTATATTAGTGAGGACATTTGTGAATAGTGAGGACAGTTTGGACTTTGCAAATACAGTCAAAGCTGTAAACACACACATACATCTTCACTGTTGTGTTGTTCTTGATGTTTCTCTCTTGTGTTCAGATGCCTGTGATCTCACACTGGATCCAAACACAGCAAACACTCGACTCATTCTGTCTGATGAGAACAGGAAGATCACACGTGTGTTTGAGTGTCAACCGTATCCTGATCATCCAGATAGATTTGATGTTCCTCAGGTTCTGTGTCTTGAGGGTCTGACTGGACGCTGTTACTGGGAGGCTGAATGGAGCAGAAATAATGCTGAAATATCAGTGTCATATAAAGGAATCAACAGGAAAGGATGGAGAGACTGTCGGTTTGAATCCAGTGAAAAATCCTGGAGTCTGGAGTGCTCTGATAACAGTTTCTCTGTCCGTCACAATGATAACAGAACTGATATACCTGCTGTTCATTCATCCTCTAATAGAGTAGGAGTGTATGTGGACGTGTCGGCCGGCTCTCTGTCCTTCTACAGTGTCTCTGACACACACACACTCACACACTTACATACATTCAACACCACATTCACTGAACCCCTCTACGCTGGATTTGGGGTTGATTATCCTGATTGTTCAGTGTCTCTGTGTTATATTAAACGATAGAGAGACTCTCTGTAAATCCTCTTTCTGATGTTCACATGCACACAAACTCATCAAATCTCACATCATTACATTTGAATAAATTCATTTTTAATTAGTTGTTCATTGTCCTCCAGAAGTTATAAATCTAGATCAGACACACACTGTTCTGAATCTTTAATAAACACAGTAATAAGGTTGCTTTAATATTTATATTGTAAACTGATCATCAAATGTAATAAAATTACATAAGTGACTCATTTAATGATGAAGTGGTTTCTGAATCCCTGATGTGAACTGATGACAGTATGAATAATCATGAATGTGACTGAGATCAGCAGAATGAAACACAGAGGCTGAATTGACTCAGAATGAATCCGTCTCCTGATCGTCTGCTTTATTTTTCTGTCTGCGCTGATTTAAGCATATTCGTTACTTACTACAAAACAGAAGTCAGAAGAACACAGACTGCAGGAAAGCAGGTTGATGAATGACAATTTGCCTCAGTCACTGAACCACTAAGGAGACTGACAAAGAAAGATACCCCATTCAAGTTTGGTTCTGAGCAAAGACAAGCATTTCAAGTCTTAAAGGGGTCATATGATGCTGCTAAAAAGAACATTATTTTGTGTATTTGGTGTAATGAAATGTGTTTATGCGGTTTAAAGTAAAAAAAAAAACATTATTTTCC